GTGCACTTGACAGAAAAGGAGACATGAGTCAGAATCATAAAGTTCCGCCTTGCATAAGATTTAAACTCACTTCTCTTAACGAATGACTCCATAACTTTAAATAAACTATGCGTTTTAGCTTGACTCATGGAGTATTTTGTAACGTGCTCACCTGATCACCTTAAATACAATTACTGACTTCAGAAATTATATTTTTGCATTGCACATTTCGATTGAGGAGATTATGCAGTTCCTCGAAAAATTTCCTTACGATTTAGGACGTAAAATACGAACTTCGACATGCAGTTTCTTATCTGAGCTAGCAGAAGGAAATAAGGTATTTCTTTATAATTACTAAAAGAATGATAGTAATACAGCACAAACGTCCGAAATTTGATTTAAGTAACACGTAAAGACTTTTGCCTTTGACCTAGACCTTATTGTTTTCAGGCTACTTAGTTTACCCAAGTTAAAACTTTGGAATATATTGACTGACAAATGAAAAGGCATGAAAGCAATCAAAGCAATACAAGTGGAAAATACTATTTCGACATATTTTGGCTTGGGTTTTAAAATTTTCTAAGTGCAAGCTAGAATTAACTTTTAAGTCTAGATATTTGGTATTATCAACCTGAACGACAGCTCAAACAGCACCTGGGAAAGATATCCAAGACAGAAACCCTAAGGTTCATACATATAGCTGTCTTTAATCCGGAGTTTCTGCCGATAGGGAAAAACAAACACACAGCTTTTTTCTTTTTCTTTTTTTTTTGAAGTTCAGCACAAAGCTGCACAAAGGGCTATCTGAGCTCTGCCTACCACGGGTATTGAAACACGGTTTCTAGCGTTGTAAGTCCGCAGACATACCGCTGTGCCACTGGGGGGGGGGGCAAACAATCAGAACCATACGCTGTTTACTCTTAAGCCAACAGCGGAATTCACTGTCACCCTTATAACTCTGAGCTTGTTCAGCGTTCAGCAACATATCGAAGACTCAAATTAAGTCTTGAATCTTTTGATTCCCAGCCTTCCATGCTAACCACTAGGCCACTTTCAGCCTCTTTTAACTATACACTGAGCGTGGTTAAAACTTGATTCAGCGGTTTTCAAACACAGTATAAGAAGCTAGCAAACATTATATATTTACATTTTACGATTTCACATTCGTAATTCTTTACATTCCAATACATATTACAAATCAAGCACAATAACTTGCATTTTCAAATTAAAAATTCGTATGATTTAAAACTCACGTACATACGTCCCATTCTTTTTCTTCTAACTTATTTATTTCTAAAGTAGTTCGTTCCGGAATGTTAACTCACTGATCAAAACCCATAGCTAGCAACGTCATTAGGTAAGTTAGAGAGATTGGATTTAAAATACAGTGAATGATTTAAACAGAAAATGTCTGTTCCACGTATACACATGAAGAACTTGTTACAAAGCCCAGAGTTCTTAATTTGATTGCGTTTCAGTTTTTAGCAAAATACCTTCCGAAAATAATAACATTATGAATACAGGCTATTTTTATGTCTACCTTTATGTCCTATAAACCCTTTTTTGTTTTATTCGCGATTTATTGGTTAAAATCAGCGATTGAAACTAATATTTGGAACCTTACCAAATACAGTAAGAGTCAACACATCAGTGTAAATATCAAAAGATTTACAAAATATAAAAGCAAACAATGTAAACACGTAAATGTTAATTACCCTTAATTTGTTTTTAAATTTTCAAAAAGAGTAATGGTGATAAAGTTCGAAATTATCACTCTCACCACAGTATAACATGTTTTATGATTGAGAAATAACCTAAATTACCATAATTAGTAACATAAAGTCACGTAATCATAATTATGTGAGGTTACAGTAGATATGTGAATTACAGTCTCACTGTTGAAATTGATAAAACATGTGCCGTATCTTATTAAACAACTTAATTTTTACGAAGTAAGCTTCAAATTTCTCATGACATATTTTGGAATAACAATATAAACATGGCGCTGCTTGTATTTCACTGTACATTATAGTTTGTATAGCTATCGAAAGAAGAGGTTAGCGGATTTTATGAATAATAAATTAAAAGGAATTATATCTTTTTTTTTGCACCAATTTCAATTGACATTAAATTATTTTTCCAAAAAACTGGTTTAAAACAGGTTTGCTCTTTGAATTTAGATTGTGAAATACTTCCCACGTCCCCTTACTACAGAAAAGCGCTCTTTGATCATTCTAATACTTATCTTTATAAGTAGATAGGTAAAAAAAAAGTATCTCTAATTAGCTGTACTGATCGCCAAATTGATTTTTCTTTCGCCCTAAGTACATATCGGAAGTTAATGTTAATTAACATAAAAAATAAAATACTTGGTATAGAATGGTCTGTATAAAATATCACCATTTTCAGATTTCAAACTAAAACCAACACCCACAGATACCATCTGCCTTTCTTAACCCTAAACATTGAGTTTTCATAACAGAAACAGTTTAACCTGATGAAGCAATAGACGATGAGTCGTTACACTATTAAAGGTATCATTGTATTCCAAAACTGAATGAAACAATAGACATTAAATCGTCAGATTAGAAACTATTTTATTGTAGTATCTCTAATCGAACGAAACGATAGACACTAAATCGTCACATTAGAAACTATTTTATTGTAATATCCCTAATCGAGTGAAGCAGAAAATTTTTGCTTTGACTTTTTAGAACACGAAAATGATTAATCACATAAAATAACTTTAGAAATCATACCCCAGTGGTTCAGCGTTAAGTTTGAAGGCTCAAACTGCCCAAAACCGGGTTTCGATACTCAAAATGGACACAGTACAGATAGTTTATTGTGTAGCTTTGTGCTTAACAACAAACAAAATTTCAAAATTAGCGATTTTTTCTCGGTCTAGATTATAATTCAAAACAAAGTATCTTCTTACCACTAGCGTCCTCTTGATGAATCACCCAGCAACTAAAAAAAAAGAATAACCTCCAAGGTCCTAATCAGTTGGGAAAGATGTAAGTGAAACGTACTGAAAACTATACATTTTAAGTTGATAATCTGATTCAGCTTGTTATTGACATTACTGGTATAATTACGTACGTGTTTATCTAAAAGGTTTAGTAGTGGTCAACTGAGCTCATTTCTGTGTATATATATGTATATACAAATATAGTGTTAACTATAAAATAAATAATAGATAAATGAACAGAGAAATATATATATAAATGATGTGATCTACTAAGGTATTGATTCAGAGGTCAACAACATTTCAAGTGTTTGCTATCTACTTTTGTCGAATAAATGCGTTGAGTTTTATTCATATCGTACTGAAATATTAATCATATTTCCATATGCATAGTGTGTGCGAGCAGAAATTTATATATATACACGTGTTCGCATATAGACTCATCTTTTAGAAAAGTATAACGTTTCCCTGGAAAATCGATGGTTGCCAAGCAGACGTGCCTGGGCTTGAGGCAAGTCATATAGTAAGTGTTGTGCTGCACTCAACCACCTATTGGAACTAAGCACACTTCCATTTTCCTGTCATAGGTATTTAGGCCAATAGAAAACATAAGCTCCAAAAATGTTTACTGATTATCCCTACGTTTTCCGAACACGACTTAATGCAAAGACGAAACTTAGTGCTCCTTGCATCTGGCTTTCTAAAATGCACATTCTAAATATTGTTAATTGTTATTAAAGTATTTAGCGATGGCTTTCTTACAATGTTGTAAAATACAATTTTAAACTTTCTAAAATCATGTATAGTTACCAGGGGAAAAGTATTACGTTGTTTTAACGCTTGAATCTTCAGAATTAGTACACTCTACAATGCAGGACTTAATGGTTGATTTAAAAGGTATTTATGTGCACATAAATACGAATTTTCAATTAATAAAGCAACAAAATAACAGCATCAATCTCGAACAGCAAAAAAAAATCATCTTTTGGAGACTAGCCCCCACATTTTGCTTTTTTTTTTACACTGCGGAGAACATCACAGTAACTGTAGCGTTAGAACAAACACTCATACATTTAAAGGAATATTTTCTTAATACGTCGGTGAACGCTTATTTAAAAATCATCACAATCAGTTAAAAAACACTTAAATCCACCAAGAGAAACCTAGAACATTTTTTTTATCAAAGCGATGAAATGATATAATTTAATTGTGTAGTGTTTTATGATACTTGTTTTGACACACAGCACAACCAGAAGTCAATTATTAAACAAATGTTTTTTTTTTTGAAGAAAGAAAATATAAATCTTTCATGATCAAGTATTTCCTTCACACAAAATCTTCTAAGGACTTTAAAGAATTTTTAAGACAAACAAGTTCACAACTATGACTTATTCTGGAGTTATGTGTATGCATGTAACAAGCTATAAACGCCTTTTTGGCCGTAAGTAAAAAAGCCCATATTGCAAAACAAAACAGGAAAACAGCGATGGAAGAAGAGTTCCAGAGTACTTTCATTTTGCAGCTGTTTTAAACAGAATTACTTTTACACGTGGCTAAAACATATGTATTTGTGTTTGTGTTTTTGTGTGTATACAGACACATGTACGCTTATGTACACGCAATAAAAATAATGTGTGTTTTTTTAGCGGGAGAAAAGTTTTGTTTTTTTTCTAACAGTGCGCTTTAAATTTTATATATTTAATAGATTTTAGTTTTCATAAAGGTTTCATTATTTCACTAAAAAGCAAAAACATGAATAGAATACAACTATATATATATAAATCGTCTTCAAACTTAAAGATATACAGCTTCCTAGGCTAGAACATTCACTTTAAATAATGTCGTAGATCAGAGGCGACAAATCTATCTAAAAACAATATTGCCATGTCTGGTTTAAGTGTATTTTGCAGTTAGAAGCTTTCACTATCACATTCTACTGGCCTTGACATCACAGACAGAATTAAACACGTAGGACCTGCTGATTGGTCTAAAGGAAATGACGTCACACTATATAAATACAGAGAAAACGGCCGAGTGCACCACAGTAATAGCCGTATCTGTTAAACATGGTGTTGTAGGAAAGGAAGTATGACTAATCCTGTTTCTTGTATCTTTGTATTTATCGGTATATAAAAGGCAAGCTTTCCAGTTCACTGAGAAATGAAACCTTTACGATTGTCGTCGTGAACTTTAGCAGGTAAGAGAACTTTGGATTCCTATGTAGTCCGATGATATTTATTTGTCGTCCAGTTACGCATGAGGCCTTAGGCGTTCATTCTTCGGTGATATCAAACACGAAATAAATTCCCCCCACCTACCCTGCGGTTCAGGGGTAAACTTGAAGGCTTATATCCCTAAGATTCGGGGTTTGATCCCTGCAGTGGGCACAACTCCTATAGCCCATTGTATATTTTTGCGCTTAAACAAAATCATTGTAATAAATAGGATCATGTAAAGCAATATCATTTGGTCTAGTGAATTAAAAATGAAAAAATAAAAAATGTTTCCATATATATTAGAGATGAACGTATTGATGGGTATTTAGTAGAGAAATGTATTGTATTTAATGCGTGTATTGTTTAGGCGTACTTCAAACTAATTAGTTCAATATTCTGGAATATCAAGGGGTGTTTTCAAAAAGATTTTATATTACTTTTATTTACAATAAAATGTTTGGATCTCAAACGTAAATCAATGCATTTTATACTGGAACGTTTTATTTTGCTGTTTGCGTGTGTGTTGTTTTTTTTATTATTTACTATTTCGGCAATGTCTGTTTATTTGTCTGAAAGTCAGCCAGTTTCATAATAACGCAAGTATCTGTCATCAACATACGTTTTTTTGTTTGTGTGTGTGTGTATATATTAGTAGCAAATATAATTGTTAAAAAGAAACTTTCTGAAGCCTAATAGTTTCTTTTTTGCAAAAAATAAATAATGAAAACACGTAGAAATATAGGTGGTATAATACGTTTTGGAATTTTGTAGAATTATAAGTTTCAGTAATAGCTAAAATTTTACATGAGCTTACTCACAACAATTATAAGCGTTTACTAATTCCGTGTTTATATGTAGTTTATCATATAAATGTTTATATATGTATATATTACACATATCTCTGTGTGTATGTGTGTGTGTGTGTGAATATATATATGTTTATTTACATTTAGGCATTCGGCCAAGAAAACGGATTGTCCTTGACTCCCCCCTCTCCTGTACTACATAATTTATTTTTGCTGTATTTTACTAGTATGTTGCTGATTGTAGATTTGCACGTGTCTTTACTTTGTTTTCGATAAGTTTACATTAAGTACTACATCCTTGTGTATGCCCCCCAGTGGCACAGCGGTATGTCTGCGGAGTTACAACGCTAGTATCCGAGTTTCGATACCCGTGGTAGGCAGAGCACAGATAGCCCATTGTGTAGCTTTGTGTTTAATTACAAACAATCCGTGTGTATATCGATAAGATATAAGGATCATGTAACACTAGACCGCTTTCTTTCTTTTTTTATCTTGGCTCGAGGACGTTCGGAAATTCTCCTACTCCACGCATTATTCCACAGTTCCTCAATATACTGCCGATGAAGTTTTCAAATATCAGTTAATGTTCCACTGATGTAAAGGGATCGCTAAAATATTAGCTTTGCTCAGTATGCAATATTTCAGGTTTAGAATACTGGCAAATAAATATCAGAATTTTATTTTATGTTACCCTGCATTGTTGTTACTCTATGATTGATAAATACCACGCTTGGTCGTAGAGATACAGTTTACCAAAATCGTAAAACCTGTTCACAGTTGGACACTAAAACAATAATAAAAATTACGTTGGTAAGACTTACGACCAAAATTCAAATGAAAGCAAGTTTTCTGTGTTTTTTTTTGTTTTGCTCGAGTATTTAGCATACGTTTTTAGAAATATTATTAACTATAAAATACAACTAACATAAGTCTTTACAGAAGCCAGTTTACATTTTTTTTCGTTGATTCTTTTTTTTTTTAGATAAAAAAAATACATCATTTCTTCCTAGTAGGAATAAAAATCAATTTAAACAAATACTACGATAAATTATGCATATCATATTTTACTTGAACTTCCACGTGCCCTTCTCAACTGGGAATCTACGTTGCGTCGTCATTAGTCATGTTCGAAAACTCATGATCTAAGAAAAAAAAATAAATAAAATTCTTTTGAACTTTGTCAGCATTAAATTCTGAGGTTGGTTGCTTAAGAACTAGCACGAATCATATCAGTACAATGTACATGGCATTGAAACTTCGTGACAATTGGAAGGGAAGGAAAGGGGTCGATGATATAAATAACCCGTGATATTAGCTATTTGGATCTTTTGCAAAGTTGCAAGTTGAAATTAAGCCCAATTTCGTCTTTTTTTTTTAAATAAATTGCAATATATGTATATACTGTATATATCAGAGTGTCACGTGCAGCATCTATAAAACGAATAAAGAATTCCGGGAATTGTCTATATAAATCATGAAAACTAAATTAAAACCCCGTTTCTATTTGAGGATCTCGAAACCACAGCAACATCTACAGATTATAACTATTTGCATAAATACGAATGTTATGAAAATATTAGAAATAACCACCACGGCGTCCTTTGTTTTTAGATTAATTTTTTTTTTCGAGTTCTTTGTTTCTGTTTTTTAGCATCGTCACTATGAATATTAAACACAAAAATAAGATTCAGTGGACAGTGAGCAGGGTATTATTTGCCATTTCCTCATGCTTATAGGTATATAGTGGAAATAAAGAAAAAAATGTGTATATTTACAAAAATAAAGTGAATGTTTAGCATCATCGTACTCTTCGAAAACATTAATATTAGGATGTGGAGCCTTCATTTACTGGTGTATAATAAGTCAACGAAGAAACGTCTGTAAAAGATTTGCTTTGATCGTTATTGTATTGATAGTACTGCCCTCTGAAGTACATTCCTTGAATTAAAACAATGCGTAGGTAATATATTTATGATCTGTATGGCTTGGAGTATGTTTTGCTTGCTAATACGGAAGGGAAGATATTAAATGATTCAAGAGCCTAATTATACAGTGAAAAATAGAACTGTCGAAATCACATTATAATCCATTTTAACCGACAGTCCAGAATTTAATATATAATATTCGTTTAACTTTTTGTTTGTGTTTTCGTTAATAAAAAACAAAACAAAAGACTTATCACCATTAAAACAAACGCTCCTTTACTGACTGTAACATTATACTCGAAAATACTTACGTAAGTCACATACCTTCAACGTGTACACAATACGAAGTAAGGCTATAAATACAGCCACTAACAACACAGTGTACGATATCTATCATATAACATATTCCAACTTCTAGTTTTTTTTGTTCACGTGAAACATAAGTGGACGAAGGTTGGGTGAGTAGATGATAGATGGAGGTTTGGTGGATGGACAGGAAGAGAGAGTTCAAAACAAATTAAAATAGCATATTTCATTTAAAAAAAGGAGTAAAACACGTAGAGCCTTAAGGTAAGTAGTACATGTCGAATACTCAAAAGAAGTGTGTACGCATCATCAACCTTCATTAATTATTTTTTGTTGAACACAAGATACGTGTAAAAGTCAGATAATCACGTATTGATTATAATGGTATATACGACAGGTAAATAATAACCTGGTTGTGTTGTATTTGTAAGGACTGTGTAGTTACCTATTTGAATGTAATTATTATCTACTTTCTTCTGGTATTTAGTTTCCGGTTACATAGCAACTCGCGGTATTATTAGATAAAGGTTTAGCAGTTCTATTTTGTTCTGACAATAGGATCAGTCGTGTGTGTGTGTGTATATATATAATTGCATTGCCGCTCCCCCCCCCCCCCCCGGTGGCACAGCGGTAAGTCTGCGGACTTATAACTCTAGAAACCGGGTTTCGGTACCTGTGGTGGGCAGAGAACAGATAGCCCATTGCCATTGCAATAGGAAAGCTACTGTTTATTTTCAAAATCCGTCAGAGATTCAATATAAATGTTTTTTCACGCTGCTGAAGCCATCTTTTTCTTACTACTAAAACTAAGATCACATCTTTTTATAAGATTGTTTTTTTATCTAGGTAATTTGTTTTTAATCATGGAGCTAAGTTTCTTAGGTAGGAAGTGGTTTTAAAAGCTATACACTGGAACCACAGTGTTAATTGAATCCAAGCTTCATTATTTGTGGTCTGAATAATTCCATCCACTGTAATAAGAGAATATTTTCCACTTCCTATATTCACATTTGTCGTCAATGGTTGTATATCACTTTATTTTTTATCTAATTGAATGATTTACAGTAGTAATCCGAGAGACAGCGTTGTAAACACTGGGAGAGAATATAGATGTTTAATGTGTGTCATATCGCTACGTTTATATGAAATGGGGAAAAAATGGCATTTTATTTCTTAGGGCAAGGCCTCTTTAGAACAAAAAAAAACACGAGGTCGAGTTTTTGAACATTTACAAACTACGCAAGGTTGCATCATTTACCATATGATAAAAAGCGATGCTCATCTTACGAATGTTCTCGTGTGATATCTATATATCTATCACCTTGAATATCATACTTCCTTAGTTTAGTCATAATTATACATTTTATACATAACTGACTCAAAAACAGTACAGTTTTGTTATTAAAAAGTACCTAGAGGGATCCTTCTGCGGTTATTTATAGTCGTTTAGTTGTTTCATTTGGGATTTTGTTAAATGATTTAAACGTATAATAATTTAATCTATATTTAGCCTATATGATCTTATTGTTATATAGATTTACATATACTTACATGAAGTAACTATTTAGATTTTCCCACCAAAATAAAACCGCAATGGAAATGTGAATAAATGAATTCTATCTGCATTTTTATTTGATTTTCTTGTTGTTTTTCTAATCTATAGTAATCAGATATCTAAATTCCGAATTAAATTTGGAAAACGACTGGATAAAATAACCTCTTTGTGAAAAACAACGATTTTTACAATTGTTCTAAAGTGTACATTATCATTAGAGAATTTTATTTTATACAAACATTACATATTATTAGTGGTAATTATATTTCATTTCAACGATTAAAAACATTTCTGGGAATAATAATTTATCTTTCATATTAGGTCTACTCACAGTTGTGATATCAAATTAATTTCAAACACATGTAACTCTCACTTACACTATGTTTTTG